TAATTGTTTTACACCAGTATTTTTTACTTTATTCAATATTTCGCAAAAATCAATAGAGAAGAAAAACAAATTGTTGAGTACCATAATAATCTCTAATGTCTACTTGTTAAAATACATCAGAAATCAGAAATCAAAGCCACAGGCAAAATCTTGATATATCAACATGACTTCGATAATTAGGAAAACGAGTTCGAACCATTGAATGATAAGCTTGTGCTTTTTCATAAGAAATTACACCATAAATATCAAGAAAGACAAAGTATTTCAATTGTTCTACTAATTGACAAAGATCTTGTTCAAAAACAGTGACTTGCTGAGCTAAATAAAAAATAGTTTATATTTTCTCTTATGAATTATTTCATTTACAAACCAATCGATTCAGATGTGTGTAAAAATTTCATCCATCGTTGAAGTAAAACCTTCCGATAATATCCTTCTGGAAGATCTGGTCGCACTTAAACAAACAAAACAACAAAAGAATAATACAGTTATGTTTAGAAAACAATCTAGAATAACATAAGACTTTTTCTTATGGAGTTCATATATGTTTTTCGCAAAAAAGTACGAAATTTAATTTTAAAAAATTTCGAAATTCTATTTTTATCTACCAATTTGTTAGGAGTATATCTAAAAAATAATTAGACACAGAAAAACTATTCGCTTCACAGATGAACAATGAACTCAATTCAACTCTGCTCTAATCACTGTCAGTCTATTCCATTTATATCTATTATTAAAAAAATATTTATCAAGATATGTCAACACTTATGAAATAAATTCAGTTTAATTAGCAGAGTGAAATTAAACAATTTTCTGAACTAATATAATTATATTTATTCCTTTGATGATTTCCAAAAAATGATCAGATAAAATCACGGATGATTACGATGTGTTCACTCACCGACTCACTTTTGCCATTGTGTAAGTCACACAAAAAAGACAATTTATTTTCATGCGCATATAAGAAATACAACAAAAAAAAAGAATTCTTTTTCGCAGGAATAACATTGAGTAACTACAGAAGACATGAATTCTGCATCTTGGTCCATAAAGAGCTACACTGATAAGCTTTTTCCAAAGCTCTTTGATTAAGATTAGGTTTACTTTTTGTCAAATTTAAACGTTTTAACAAAACAAAAAAATAAAGATTTTTCAAACACCTCAATTTACTTTTGAAGTATCGAATCACTACTAACTCAGATATACTCAATGACAAAGTATAATTTCAATTGAAGTAATATAAAAATAATTGCTTTCCTAAATCATAAAAAAGGAATTTTTCATTTTTCATTAGCACAAAAATGTCTGTCAAAGTACTGTAATTAATTTTCTCTTATTTAAAATAAACTTACCAGTTGTCCAAGGAAAATCGTCCGGTCGCCAAAGACGTAGTGTTTGTAAATGAGGCATATGTAACTTAAGAAATGGTACAAGATGTTTACCAATATTAGCTGATTCATTTGAAATACGATGACAACTAGGAATACTGAATTCAACATATTGAACAGAACTTAATGCATTTGTTTTTAATTGATTAAATGCCTAAAAAATAACATATGAAAACGACTTTGTTAAGATACAGAAGCCAAACAGGAGTGAGTCAAAAAACAAATGATATAGATTTTAAATAATGAAAATAAAAACAACAGTTGCAGAATGCTTGTCAAATGCAACAGATGCTTACATATTCAATGATATGCAGGAGCCATTGGAATTTTTCAACTAAAAGATATTTGAGTTGGACAGGCATTGAAATGAGATGAGCGAGTACTTTCGCACGTTCTTTCTTTCGATCTATTGATTCATCACAATCATCTAAAAACAAAACTCCTTATTGATATTCTTTAGAATTCAAAATTTAATTTCACACAAAAGTATATTAATTTAAATTATTTACTTAATAGTTATATGCTAGAGATGCTCGCAGAGCAAGGTAACCCTGTCATGAGCAGGACGGAATTGAAATAGCTCTTTTTTTATCCTACTCTGCACAGGATAACACAGAGCCGAGTGAAATCTCTATGCCCTACATATTTGAAAAGCACGTGTTTTTAGTTTTTATCTCCCAAAAAATCGTTTTTTGTTTCTTTGTGAGTGAAAAATTAAAAACAAATTGCCAAGAGCCATATCAATTGATACTCACAATCTCAATGTTTCTTCAGGTTACATACTCTTTCATGCTGACACAATACTGTGCCAGTCAATGTGTATATAAATTTTACACAGATCGAAGAAAAAACGAATGTCTTTCGATATACTTAGATTCGGATAAAAACATGGAAGAAATAAGAAACAAAAGAAATGATCGTCGACAAATTATATTTGTATGTCTTATTCTCTTATTTTACTACATTAAAACAATACATCAACTTATGAGTGACCTATTTTTTTGATTTTGAGTCGCCTTTATCGACTATCTATTCCTTATCGTAAAGATACATCAGATTTGTCTACATTTTGGCGCGTAAATAACTTAAATTTATCCTTTTCTAAATATTAAGAAGAAAAAAGAACCAATCTTTTATCAGAGAAATTATAGAATATTTCATTAGTACGATGTGATAAAACTATAAAGAAACAAACTATATACATTTTGTTAGTTTTTTCTTACTAATATTACTTGTTATGTACTTTTTGTTGAATATTTTTTCAGATAAACGCTTATAGTAGAGTTGATGAACCTAAGTAGAGTATACTACACTATTTAGTCTTCGAATCTTTTCGTAATACTCATCTTGTGATAGTTGAATTGCTAGCTATTTACATTTTAAAACAGATACGAATCAAACAATTTTTTATGACATATTATACACAAGTTGTTTTTGAACTAAATTAAAAGATGCAAAAAGAAAGTATATCGGTTCTACAGGATATATCCTGCTCTGCCCTGCTCGATCGTACAGCAGGACAGGGCAAGACAGGGTGCAAAAATTCATCCTGTGATCATCTCTGTTATATACAACATTCTGAAGACAATAATTAAAGAATAAACGAATTGTTTCATCTATCTATTCAAAATAAAAACGACAATATTCCAAAGAAAATGTCCAATATGCGTTGTTACGAATATAATTTGTAATAATGGCTCATCATAATATACACTCGCATGTAATAGGTTGTAATTCCATGTAATGAGATGTATTCCGATATATTGTTATACAATAATAATATATATATACCATTGGAACACTTGGAACTCTTGAAGATAATGGCAAAAGAGACACAAAGAGGCCATACCTATCTCAATAACAATATATATATATACCCTTGAAAAACTTAGAATTTTCAGAATTCATCTAATAACATGTGTTATAATACATGTCATTATTTTTCAAGAATATATGTGTGAAGAGCACAGCATTTGTACCGTTGGCGAAAAAAGATCAATAAAAATAAGTTTAATGATAGAGAAAAATTAAATGTTGTATTGAATAGAGCTCTATTGAATGCGTATGAAAATACTATTTTCCCGACACTTCCCTGCGATATGGTGAAGATTCACAATATTACCAACTAAAAAGCCGTTTCACATACAGCGTGATCATTATTTTTTAAATCTTGTGTGAAATTTTTGTATTAACGAAGTTTATGAGACAACCGTCTTTTATTTGCTAAATTATTTTCCCCTCCTCCCACTTTCATATTCTATTAAATTTGCTCTAATCAAATATTCTTGAAACGGAATACTAATGATTTTAATCTCTGTCTACACGAAAACGGAAAGTGTCTGAACGCCTATTATTGATAGATTTCCACTCATAAAGCTCTTTCTAGAGCTAAAACAAAAGACATATTCTGAAAGCTCTCGACCAGTTCTACAAGTTTAGCTACAAAGAACACTTTAAAAAGATCGCAATTTAATAAAGAAATTGATTTTCTTCTGTCAGATAGCGTAGGAAAACTGAATATTTAACATCATTACTATGATTTCACAGAAACTAAAACAGCTGGAACCTTGATTTTTTCAGAAGTGAATGGCCATCTTTAGGTCAACAAATCAAAAAAATAATTATTAAAATTGATTGAATAGAACTCGACTTATAAGTAATTCTTTTAGCAGGATCTAACGGTACAATTGGCGTGCTCTTCACTCATATATATTATTACTTTATTACGTGTACTCTCATACATCTCATTATAAGGCGTTAGAAGTCATTAAAAATGGCAGTCTAGTTGTATACGTAGTTATTGCAGAATTGAGATAGGAATGAGATTAAATTTCTGATCTATTAAAAACTAAAGATGATTAATTTATATAAAAAGCTCTGTCGTAGGACTCGCCTTTATTGTGTCTTCTAGTCCAAAGTCCAAAATGTTTCATGATTATTTTTTACATTAAAAGATTTTATCCAGATTTGTAGAGAATCAAATGAAGAATATTTCGGCAAAAAATTCAACTTTAACCAACGTAATTGATGGAGACACAGAGAGGCAAAATTCTGAGCAGTTTATTCTTCCAATGTTATCCATTGGATATTGTAAAAGAAAAACGTTTCATTATGTCTTTCTAAAATATTAGATATAAACTAATTCATACTTACAGTTTTGACGATAAAAAGAATGTCCAAACGTAAGCTTTGTAATATTTCGAAATTGAATATCGGTCACATTGTGTAGTCCTGTTTCGAACGGCTTTGTTAATGATAATTGTACATCTGCTTCATCAAAACTTTTATAATATTCTATTTAAAAATAAATGGATAATTAATAATTTAAAATTAATTTTGATTCTCTTTATTTTTAAGTAAACATGTCTAATATAAAGATGTGTACTTTGTCTTTATTTTATCCAATAAAATAAAGAAAATTATAGTAAAATACTGTAGTTTAAATTTTCTACCAGTTTCTTAGTTCAATATCATGCGTTGATAACGCTAGAACATTTCAAAAATCTTCCATATTATTTCATTATAAGATAAATAAAAAGTACAGTAACGTAAAGTTGAAAATATCAATTTTTTTATCAATACACGAAAAATATTGTTTTGCTAACTTTACTCTGTCGAACAAAGTAAAGCTAGATTTTTGACTTTTTTTTAAAGTAAAGTAAAGACAAAATGCCATCTCTACTCAGGAGAGGTCACCCAAAAAGTGACATTTATTGACTAAATAAAAAAAACGAGTATTTAGAGATGCTTTTTAAATTCAATACTAAAGAATTTTGAGACCGTGACTCCGAAAAATTCAAAGTATCG